TTCTTAATTAATTATTTTCAAATTTCATTAATTGGATTCTACGTTAAGTCTTTGTAGAAATGCATTTGATAAGGACCTAATTAAAAAGTTGAAAAAGTTTGTGCTATTAGATTTTTAATAAACGGATTTAAATAAATACACACTCCAGAAACGGTATTTTTGCTTCAACAGTCAAAAACTTCATATGTCCATTGAAAAGACAAGAAGATGAATAATGCGGCTGCAATACAAACTGCGGCACAAACATCTTCCTTTTCATCAAAGGAACGAAAACAAAAACTATCAAAGTATCTATTATAATGCAAACAGTTAAATCAACGGACTGCATAAATTGGGCGGTGGCATCGGAGCGCTAACTCAATAAACTTTTGTCGCGAGTATCAAAGTGCATCTGTACTATTCGTCCAATAAATAACAGCCGCGTAGTTATAAAGCAGTTATGAGAATACTCGCACTGCGTTTCCGGCACGAGAATACATCGAGAAGCTATTGGAATGAAAACGCTATAGAGTAAAAGGAACAATAAGAGATGTACTAGATGATTTGATGTGGAAAGAAAGAAAAATGCTATATATATAAGACTTATGAGAAATAGCTAGAAAAAGGTATGCCGGCAATCGTAGGTATTACTAAAATATAGAAAAATGAAGATTAAAAATTGTAAAATTTAAAAAATAAAAACTCGAAATTTCAAGATTTTAGTTAAATTGCTTGGTGGTCCCGCGTAAGAAAAATCCCCGTCTTCTATTTTTTTTCTCTTCATTGTCCGATATGAAAGAAGTAGAAGTTGCACTAGACTGAACTCATTACACACATGCTCTATTACACACACACACACACACATGGTACAAACCATGGTATTCGAATCCTGTTTACAATATATATATGTAGAAATTTTCTGCTTGTCACCTACAATTCGGTCATTATGACGTTTTGCCGTCCCGGCGGAATGTTTCCATTTGAACGTAAATCGCATGGTTTTTAACATTTCTATTTAGTCAAATCGCGTCATGTCGCTCGTCTTGAATCTAATAAGCCGCTTTAATAAACACGACAACCAAATACAATTTCCATAAATACAATAAATGCACACAATTTCTAACAATCGTTTTATTCGATAGTCGGTCTATTACGCAGACCTTTGTCGACATACGGCCTTATTTGGTCCACCGCAACAACACCGTTGTAAGGCATCCGGGTCACCTGAAAATTCTCTACATCGCTTACTGCGTAGCGGTCGTTTCCTAACACTTTCTTTACTTCATACGACCCTTTAAAACGCGGAATTAGTTTTTTGTTTACGCCTACGCTAGTGTCAACGTTCCGTATCATTACGTAATCGCCAACGCTGTAATTCTGAGCGGGTTTTTGCTTTTGGTTATAATATTGTTCGTTCTTTCTTTGCGAATTCACGATGTTTTCGGCAGCAGTCTCTCGAATGAACGCAAGGTCACGCCTCATTGGTAACGCGCCCTCGAGGATTTCTCGCAGCGGACCCTCTACATTGCCTCTTTGCTCGATTCCGAATAATAGTTTACTGGGAGTCTCATTTGTTGTTCGACATTTCGTATTATTTAGAGAGTATTCGACTCGACCTAAGACTCGGTCCCATTTGTTAGGCTGCTCGCTGAGTTTCGCGATCAGAGGCTCTATCGATCGATTAAAGCGCTCAACCTGCCCATTGGCGCGCGGCGTACCTACCGCAACCAAAACATGTTGCGTCCTCTCGGCAGTTACAAAATCTTTAAACGCGCCAGATGTAAAGGCAGCTCCACGGTCGCTTATTACTTGCTTCGGGCGACTATAAGATTGAAAGTATTCTCGCAAATACTTTATACATTCGTTAGCCGCCGTTGTCTTGCACGGATACAATTTTACAAACTTTGTAAATGCATCTACGGTACTAAATATATATCTGTAGCCTTTACCGGTTTTTACTAGAGGCCCGTAATGATCGATATGTATCGTGTCGAATGGTTGATCTCCTTTTTTTATGTTATGTAAATACCCCTCTTCCTTGCCGCTAGAAGGAGAATATTCAATACATTTGAGACAATTGTCGATATAATCACTCACCGTTTCTCTCATGCGCGGGAACCAGTAAACTCCCGACAAATTCTCTATTACCTTCGCGAGCCCTACGTGGCCCAAATCGTCATGGCATGTACGGATCACGTTGTTTATCATTTCCTCCGGCACACAAAACAATAATTTTCCTCTCTGATCCTTGCGGTACACAAGACCGTCGCGCAACTCGAAAAATTGATCTTCGGTTTTTTCTAATCGATCGCGCAATTTTCGAATCTGGCGGTCGCGTCCTTGACCTATCGCCAATGTTGTTTCCAGCGTATTTTCTTCGATCACCGATATAAGATGACATCTACTGAGCGCATCAACATGACTCATCCGCTTACCTGGTCGATGTTGAATCTCGTAATTGTAATTTGACAGGAATAATACCCAGCGTGCAATACACGGATTTATTTCTTGTTTAGCCAACGTTAACCGGAAACTATCACAATCCGTGACAATAGTAAATTTTATACAATAGAGATACACATGGAAGCGTTTTATGGCATTCATTACGGCCAAACATTATAATTCGAAACTCGGATATTTAGCCTCGTCTTTCGTTGTACGCTGACTAAAATAAGAAATCGGCTTGAATAAATTACTGTCCTGTTTTTGCAATAACACCGCGCCAAAGCCACTCACACTCGCATCGCAGTGCAACTCTGTTTTGGCTGTCGGCGAATAAATGGCTACCAACGGTCGGTTAGCCAAACATTGCTTTAAACTTTCAAACGCCTCACGTTCCTTGATCCCGAAACAAAACACGGCATCTTTCTTTACCCGGTCATACAATGGCTTTGCGATAATAGAAAAATTCGGTATGAAGCGTCTGAAGTAGCTTGCAAGATATGCAAACCGATGTATCTCTCGCGTATTACGCGGCACTGGGCACTCCATAACCGACTGAACGTTTTTTTCGCTAGGCCTGACGCCTTCGCTGTTTACGCGGTATCCGAGATACGTAACTTCCGTGTATAAAAAAAAGCACTTGTCGAGTTTAAATGCCAACGAGTATTTTCGCGCTACATTAGATACCTTACGCAATATTTCCAAATGCTCGTCAATGGTATCGGTCGCAATCAAGAGACGCGGTAGCGTCTCGACGCCAAGTACATAAAAGTATCCGCTAAATGAGTGTCACTGTCAAGACGCTGCCGTGTATTTTATCTCGAGTTTTTACTCGGCGAATCTTTGACAAAATATTTCGTTAAGGAAGCCATTAATGAAAAAAATACCTTTACTTGTCTTAATAAATGTCATTACAAGCTTTCGATTGCGAGAAGTGCGAATCAAATTGGTTCAGTTAATCCAGAGATCTGAAATATTACACGTCAAAATGCAAGATTCTGTCA